GCAAAGAAGGGTAAAAGGCAAATGGCCACTCGTCTCCTTTTTTAAAGAGGTTTAAAGCTTAATAGCCAGAGAGGTAGCAATTATGACGACGAGGAGCCTTGGTCTTCCAGAAAAAGTGTTTTCAGGAGGAAAGGAATTTGGGTTTTCATTTATGCATTCTACAGAACACTTGGAAACTTTATTTGGTGAATTCAGGCCCCTGGCAATTAAAGGAGAACTATGAGGTGAGTGCTTTTCACTCACCTCATAGTTCTAGCCGACCTGTGACAATGAGACTGTCACAGGTCGGCTCAGTAGATCGGGAGGTGAGCGAACACATACCGGGTTCGCTCACCTCTCGATCCTGTCACGGCTCTCTGCCGTGACAGGGGAGGGGCTGGATTCCCCTCTCCCCGCTCCGATCCGCAAGCGCTGACTGGCGGAACGGACGGGGAGGGGGCGGGTACAGCTGGCTCTGCCTCTAGATAGGCAGAGCCACCTTTCACTCACGCAGCTGTGCCGATCTCGACATCGATGTCGGGATCCGCTCCGGCTGCAGCGTCTCAGTATACCGCGAGCTGTAGCTCGCGGTATACTGAGCCTAGGGTGACGGGAGGACGCTAGTTTGTGTCCTCCCCTTACCCTAAGGAGAACTATGGGGAAAAGCCCTGACCCCATAGTTCTCCTTTAAAGAGCCAAACTGCAGATTAGCTATTTGGTATCATGTAGGTTTGGAAATCAAATTTAAAGGGGCTGCCTCTGCCCTAGGAAGAAGAGGAGGTATGGGGTTGAGAGGGGAGATAGTGAAGGGAAATGTATAAATAAGGGTATTCTAGGAGACAACAAAATAAGTTCCTACTAAGAACACAGAAGACCTTGCAGAGGGTCAAGGGTTATCCTTAATTAGTAAGGTTGATACAAGACCCAGGCAAGTCCAGCCTGGTCCGTGCTGAGTGTAACAGGATCTGAAATTAAAGCTGTTAACCTGGGACGGAGGAAGGGGGAACATAGGATGTGTAATAAGGAGATAACTCTTGTCCTAAAGCCCACTGAAGGGGTTGCTACAATAATCTCCAAGTGAGGTTAACGTGTCCGGGGTGCACTGCACACATTCGGTAGGGTGGCAAAATTGCAAAGGACACAGTTGAACCCTGTTATAAAAAGACCTGGGACCGTGGGATTGGACCAGAAATCAAAGTTTTGAACATATTGCTTTAGCCTTCACTTTTTCCATTTAGATGTCTAAATACCAAGCAATATCTCTAGCTGCAAACCCTTTTACATTTGCCAAGAAGCTGTATCGCCTTTATTCCGTTTGCTTTAATTCTTAGACTATTTTTCCAGTAATAAGTCAAATCACACAAGCATGTATCATCTGCTCTTTACCACTCATATTTAACAGAATAGGTGGGAGCAAGATTTTATATATTCCCTAGATAGAAGTTACTCATTTACAAATTAACTTTTTTATGAATAATCAGTCTCATTAGGTCAGAGTTAGAGTCACTGCACACTTGGTATATTACAAAATAAGCAAATGGTTATTTTAGCATGATTACAAGGAACAAAGCCAACAATCAGCTAAAACATACATAGTACAGTGGGGTAGATAATTCTTTGAGAACTAGAAGAAAAAAAAAAAAACATCCTTTGTCGACTTTGCTGAGGCACCAGCGTACGCCACAATACTTTACCAATTATGAGAGCCCCAGTTCCCCACAGAACAGAGGATTGTCCCTGTCCACACAGATTTCCCATCTGCGTGTCATAATGAGCTATGGACCTATGGAAGGTCAATGGAAATGGCCAACTTGTTGCAAGCAATGCTAAAATAAATACCATTGCTTGTGATGACAGGATTTTTTTTTTTTTTTATGCAGATAACATTTATGCCTTCTCGTTCTACTCAGCAGCTTCTTAAGAGAACACATGATGCAGGCAAATGCAACTATCCCACAGTTTATCTTAGTGCTGTTATTACACTATCCCAAATCAACATGAAACGACCATGACCAAAACTAGATGTTACATGAATAACGACATTAAAGAAAAATCAGCTTATAAATGTAGACGCTTAAAAAAACAAAACTGAGCAAAAACCATCTCTTAAAAAGGAGAACTATGGGGTAAACATTTTTCCCCAAAGTTCTCCAAAGGGTCACGGGAGGACATATACTATATACTAGCGTCCTCCCATGGCCCAAAGCTCGGTATACTGAGAACGCTGCAGCCGGGACGGCTGTCACACGTCGGCTCGAACTATGAGTTTGAGTGAAAATCACTCACCTCATAGTTCTTCTTTAGGGACCAGTTCAACATGATCGCTTTGCAGTAATGCAAAACAACAAGCAGCAACACATTAAATGCGCAAGTGTGATGCAGCGACAAGCATTCTAAATGACAATTGTTCTAAATGTAAAGCAAATATGTTGCGCTCGGTCTATGTGGAATGTAAAGGAAAACCTGCCTTCATCTCTTAGCCGAGTGCTGCTCAAAAGCTCGATTTTTTCGTTGTTTCCGTAAGTGCATTTGAGTTCTTTTACGAAATAAATATTTGTGTTATTGCACTTAGATAGCCTCCTCTTTGTCTCCTTCAATTTTTCCCTGTGGGACACCATTAGGTGAATGCCGCCATTCCGGGCGGCGAGGGATCAGGTGACCGATGGAGAAGGAGAGATCCACGCCGGTACTTGACAAGGAGACATTAGAAGGGGTTGGAAAACCAGAACTTAAAAATACCTTTTTAACAAGGAGACCCTCTTGGGGAACTGTCAGTGAATGTTTGGAGGACCGATTGATCAAGTGTCACTGAGAGAGGGAAGTTGCCCTTTAAGTGCTGTTCGTGGGATATGCATGTAATGATACATGCCCCTTGAAATGTCAGTTTCTTTGATATTATTTTAGAGTTTTGATTTATTTGCATGTTTTTTTTTTAGGAGGATTGGAGGGCCACCACAGAGCCCCTTCTTCCTTCTCAAAGTTTGTTCATAGCTTGAATTAATATCACAGTTTAAATTTAAGTTTTCCGTGTTGTTTTACTACAATCGCTAGCCAGAGGTTCGCATGTTTGAGATATACATGCCGAAACAATGAGGTTGATCACTGGCACTAATTCTGAAGGTTGCAGTGTTGATTTTTATTATTCTTATTTTGTTTGTGTGTTGAACCTTCTAGTCATATGTAAATAATTCACTTGCATCAATATTTTTTCACACGGATTGTCGTAATTTTACACAGATTTGTTTATTAACACTTTAGTGTGTAGTTGGTTCACATAGACCGAGCGCAACATATTTGCTTTACATTTATTCACCTATACACATTGTTGCGGCTGGTCCAATCAGGTAGTTAGGCACGCATTCCCAGCGCAGTGATTTCTGTGATATAATTGTTCTAAATGGCACTCCACCACACCTTCTGACAGGTTCTGAAGGTAGGTGTGTTGAGGTGCAGACAGTGATGTCACTGCTATTTTAATACAGTAAACTCTGGGTGTGCAAAGGTATTTTATGCACAAAGTGGCTTTAGATCGTCTGTGGCTTTTACGGAATATATTTAAAGAACTCCAGGTAAAAAATGTATTAACCTTAAAGTGACATTAAACCCTCAGATTTGTTTTAACCTAAACCAATACTGTAATGTGTGCCTTACTGTAATCCATGGTTGTTTCCCTTTTCTTTGCTGCTCTTCCTTTTAAATCCTCAGGTCTTCTCATGCTTGGGGAGAACTTCCCTTTTCAGCTCAGGGCCTCTTCCTGTAGTGCTGGCTCAGGTTACAAGCCTATACAAATCTATACACAGACACCGTGTATCCATTCCTGAGACAAGGCAGTCTGCTGCAAAACAGAAGTTCTGCAGAGCATGAGAACAGATACAGATTTATAAGGAAGAGCAGCAAAGAGAAGGGAAACAACCATGGATTACAGTAAGGCACACATTACAGTATTGTTTTATGTTAAAAGATCTGAGGGTTTAATGCCACTTTAAGTGCTCCTTTTTGCCTAGGATCAAACAAAGTTATACATACCCAACTCTCCTAGCCAGCTTGCTCTTAGACCGGTCCTTGGTCATAACGTTCTATACACAGTGTATAGGATGTGAGGTGGGCAAGGGACATACCAGCACTGCAGCAGTGGAGACAGGTAGGAGTGAGAACTGTCACAGCCAGCAAGCTCAGAGGATCAGGTTAAAAGAGTTATTTTTGACCCTAGGCAAAAAAAACACGAGCACATAACCCTTGCAGTGTGGGCTTAGCCCACTTTTACTCGGGGTACTTCTTTAAATTACATTTTTGTGTCTGGAGTCAAGCTTTAAATAACGGATTGACTTTGCCTTCTCTATGCTGTGTTATGAAAAATGGTGGCACCCAATTGGAGAAATAACTGGGTCTCATGGGACAGATAGAGACCATAAGCTGAATAGTTGTCAGAGATATGGTATCTATGCCAAGCCCAGCCATCTTCAACTTCGTCATGCCGTCCACACCCTTGTATGAAGGGATACAGGTTTTCCTAGGAGGCACTGGACCTGTACATTTCTGAACCTCCTGTGATGTGTATGACATAATACATGTTCCAATACATATTTATAGTATGAAGACCAACCTGGACTCTGTATGAATACTTGTTTGTCCAACCCTTTCTACAAGTGCCTCACTACCTGCATTACTAGCTCATTACTGCAGGGTCCCACAAACAATGACTCTTATCCCCTACGGCAGCTATAACCGCTATGCAGCTGAGATCCATAATAGGTAGCCCACACACAGCGATATCAGAGTTGTCGTTTTGGTGAGAAGCGTTACAATAGTTGACTTGGCAGTAGCTTCTGTAAACAATGGCAAAGGCTAGGGTTGTTCAAAAAGGACCAATTAGTGAGGCGAGTGGGATTGGTGCAAAGCCCACCCAAAATGGACTGCCACTCCTCTATTCTTGACTCAAATCAGTTGTGGAGGGGTGCATTCCCACCGCGCAAATTTGATCTTAACTGTGAAATGACTGGTGTAAGATTACATTTACTAACCTCAGATCTCTTCTTCTTTTAAACTCCTCCTGAGGAATAGTCCATGGCAAGTTCTGTGGCAAGCACTGTAGTACCTTTTTGGGGAATTCTGAGAAATCCACCCCATATTCGGTTAATATTCCCTCAGTCTCTGGTTCAATTTCTCCTGCCTGTCCAAGGCTTTTCATTAGTGTCCTAAGACAAAAACAGACGTTCAGTTTAGGAAGGAAATTATAATGCACATCTACTCATCAAGAAAACCAAGAATACAAGAAAAACTGCAAAACATTTTAAAAGACATAAAAGTGCACTTTAAAGAGCATCTACAGTTAAAAACTAAAAATATATATTTTTACATTGACTTTCCATAGGTTCTATCCCACTCCTAATAACCAAAAATCGATCTAGAACTCTGAAAACTCACTTATTGAAAATGCCCATAGGATGTACTTCCTCAATTCACGGACACAATTTCCCTCAGTCCCGGGAATGTTGTTCTTTGTGTCATCACTCCCACAAAGTCTGCCTTCTGAACTACAACTCAGCATCTGAATAATGTAAAATGATCAGTTGCTTCTGGAAGCAATGCATGATGGGATGTGTAGTCTTGAGAAATTAAAATTGCCTCACATCAAGCAGCAGGTAAAGAGATGCAAAGCACACAGAGGATCAAGGAAGTTGTGGAAAGCAATGGGCAGGCGGAAGGCAGCACTCACTACATTATATTGATTTTTTAAAGTAAGTTTTGATTGCATTATCAAAAACTATAGTATGTATTTCCATTACAATGCTGATGTTCTACCAGGATAGTATATGCTGTGACTTTAAAAGTCGTTTAAACTCAGGTCTATATGCCATGGACAAATATAGATTTCATAAAAAGTACAAATTGCCTAATGAGTCAAACATTCTTTACAACAATCTGCGCATAACAGACATACCTCTATCAGAGATGACTGGAGGAGCCATAGTCTAAAATATTTTATCCCTATCCTAAAAGAAGCACTTGGATCATGGGGACGAATACATAAACACAGTAAAACCTCTGAATTTCTATTTTGCCTGTTCCATTGTCTACCTCAACTATTTGTTCCCTTCCTTTTGTTTTGAAAAATAATCACCAGCACACCCTGCTACTGTGCAAAGCTGGATTTATTGTAAATCTATAGTCGTTCCAGATAAATCCAACCTTTGAGGGCCTATACATGAATGATACCTAACGAAAAGTCAATGCAACCAGTGATTCAACAGTCAGGAGCATAACTTCATTGTGGAGACAACATAACAGTCTACTATGGATATGCAGACCTTGCTCTGTTATAACTTAAAAAAAAAAAGCTATAAAAATAAAATATTTAAAAAAAACACAAACATTGTACCTCTGTGATGGTAGTGCACACTAAAAAATATGCCAAAACAGTGACAGCCAGTCAGGACAACAATGCAAAAAAATAGCACCTGTGCACAACAGGGACATTCCTTAAAAATGAACTTTACCCTCACCTTTAAAATAACAAAAGGTACCTTTACAAATGTTTAGTAATGACAATCTACAAACCGATACATCTAGATAATTGCTGGCTTTTTATTCTTTGAGTATTTTGTTTTTCCCCATTCCTCTCACAGTGGTCCTTTTTACTAAGAGCAGATTACTAGATCTACCTTCACCTACCGCAACTCTGGCACGTCACTAGGACATGTGACCATGCAGATCATCTCAGGGGAGGAAAATGCCTTTCCGAGATTTCGTGAGATTAGAGATAAGATTTCCCAGCAATGCTCTGCAAATCTCTGCTCCTAGGATGCATCACTTTGGCACATTACATCATTTGTACCAAAGTGGACCAGGAAGTGGATGAACTCTATTTGCAAGTAAATGAAAAACATGTTTGCTTAATGAATGTAATATGATTATATATTAGAATGCAGTGCAGCATGCTGATGTGATTTTTAGTGAAAGGTGGTAAACGTCCACTTTAAGGAGCATTTGCCCACTGATCCATCCACAGACTGTACATGCTTGCCTATTCCAATCTCAGATGGGTATGTGTGAAAAGAAGGGCAGGGGAAACACTCAATATAAACTGTTAAACAATCACGAGCCTGCAGCGCGCAGCAGTTACCAATAATTTTGTTTTGGGCACAGAGTATACCCTTCCTATCTACTTCTTTAATCTCACTCTGCAATTGTATTGCATTTTTGATCAAGTGACAATCTAGAGGCAACACCCATTTATCAGCCTTTAAAGACTCTCAAAATACAGACAAGAACCAGCCTTACTGCTATTATAAAAGGGGCAAAAGCTGTAAATGGAGCCATTAGACACTTTAGAAATGTTCAGAAGTACACTATATTGCCAAAAGTATTGGGACACCCCTACAAATCATTGGATTCAGGTGTTCCAATCACCTTCCAATCACCTCCATGGCCACAGGTGTATAAAAAAAAGCACCTAGGCATGCAGACACTTCTAGAAACATTTGTGAAAGAATGGGTCGCGCTCAGGAGCTCAGTGAATTCAAGCGTGGTACCATGATAGGTTGCCACCTGTGCAATAAGTCCATCCGTGACATTTCCTTCCTACTAAATATTCCACGGTCAACTGTCAGTGGTATTAGAACAAAGTGGAAGCAACTGGGAACAACAGCAACTCAGCCATGAAGTGGAAGGCCACGTAAAATGACAGAGCGGGGTCAGTACTGAAGCGCACAGTGCGCAGAAGATGTCAACTGTCTGCAGAGTCAATAGCTACAGACCTCCAAACTTCGTGTGGCCTTCAGATTGGCACAACAGTGCGTAGAGAGCTTCATGGAATGGGTTTCCATGGCCGAGCAGCTGCATCCAAGCCTTACATCTGCAAGTGCAATGCAAAGCGTCAGATGCAGTGGTGTAAGGCACGCCGCCACTGGACTCGAGAAGTGGAGACGTGTTCTCTGGCGTGATGAATCACGCTCCTCTGTCTGCCAATCCGATGGACGTGTCTGGGTTTGGCGGTTGCCAGGAGAATGGTACTTGCCTGACTGCATTGTGCCAAGTGTAAAGTTTGGTGGAGGGGGGATTATGGTGTGGGGTTGTTTTTCTGTGGTTGGGCTTGGCTCCTTAGTTTCAGTGAAGGGAACTCTTAATGTATCAGCATACCAAGACATTTTGGACAATTTCATGCTCCCAACTTTGTGGAAACAGCTTGGGGATGGCCCCTTCCTGTTCCAGCATGACTGCACACCAGTGCAGAAAGCAAGGTCCATAAAGACATGGATGAGAGAATTTAGGGTGGATGAACTTAACTGGCCTGCACAGAGTCCTGACCTCAACCCGATAGAACACCTTTGGGATGAATTAGAGCGGAGACTGCGAGCCAGGCCATCTTATCCAACATCAATACCTGACCTCACAAATGCGCTTTTGGAAGGATCAAGCATTCTCATAGATACACTCCTAAACCTTGTAGACAGCCTTCTCAGAAGAGTTGAAGCTGTTATAGGGACTACGACTGGGATGCCATTAAAGTGCGTGTAAAGGCAGGCGTCCCAATACTTTTGGCAATATAGTGTATATAAAAAGGGAGACATCACTGCAGTTGGTCATTCTGCCTGGTCAGCAAGACAACCATTTTCTTAAGGGCCTGTACTATTACTGTATCTTATGGTTATATCAATTTTGTTTGCTTTATAACTAAAAATACACTTGTTTTTAGTAAAGGTTGGTAAACTACAAGAAAAATGATTTAGTTTATAAACTACAATTTTTTTGCACAATACCTAGCTCAGCATTAGGCAACACAAAAGATGATATATTTAAAGAACAAACACTTTGTTCCAGAGCAAGCAAGACTTAAGAAATGTTATAACCAGAAGTTGGAAACCCTTGTTGAATACCCCAGGAGACCCAACGCATGTAGCACTTGGTCCCGTAAAAGTGGCTTCAAGATGGCGAAGTGGATTGTGGTGCAGTCAGGGGAGCGCAGAGCTGGCAGTTTGTGTCTGCTTGGCAGGTTTGGTATCTTAAGGGAGTCCAACTTTAGTAGGAAAACAAATCCATAAGAAAAAAAAAAAAAAAGATACATTTCTCTCAGCAGAGAGAAGCAGTTAATGCTAGCAAAAAAACTGAGGATCCCTAGGCAATGGGTGGAATTATATGGGGGCTGTGCACATCTATTTTTGCCAGTGTCCAGTTACCTGAAGGTGGCAGCAAATAACCCATTAGTCTAAGAATCCTGTACTGTACTATTAGGAAATGCACTTATTTCCAAACTATAGTATGGATCTGATGCTATATGCACTGGGTCCCCTGGAGGATTCAGAAATGATTTTCAACTTCTAGTGGTACTCCAACTTTAAACGCCTCAATTTGTTATTATGCATAGCCTTAGAGATTTAAAGGCCCACTTGCATTACTGAATAACCTGACTTGCAGATTTCCAGTGTGTTGCCAATGTGGGACACCTTTCATTAGACATGCCAATTTATAGATTACATTTTCTTTTTAACACCTAAAAGCAACAATCAGGTGTTGACAACCGCATTGCCATGAAAGCTTCATTTTCAGTCTGCTTTCCTATACACATATGTTGATGGGTATAAAAACCACATGCTGCAGGAGAAAATATAGCTAGGCATGCTACACTTGGTCCATTTACAAATGTTTTCACAGAAGATTCATACAAATGTTTGTCAGGATTTACACATTTTCCCAACGAAAACCAATTAGAAAAATGTGTGAAAGTTGTAAGAATCTTGTATAAAACAATTTGTAACTAGACTCCGAATGGTGACAGATCACAGAATATATGATACGTTTGGAATATATACCAACAACTTTGTATATAATGGGATTCCTAGATTCCTTTAAAATTACGATTGCTGAAAATGTGATTACCGTGCACTGCCCTGTGTTCTCATCACTGCTTGCATGAATCTTTCAGAAGCATAACTGGAAAAGACTATATAGCTGGAATGGTTTACAGAAACAAAAACTTGTTATTGTAGCGGAGATTAAGTCAAGTGCACAAGTGTATAAAGCTGTGCAAGGATGATGGAACTAGTTGGGACTTATTCATCTAATTTCATTCTAAACCTGTTATTTGACAATGGAAAAGAGAAAACCTGGACACCGTGTCAGTAGTTTACATAAAGTCTGCCATGGGCTTGCAGGATAAAAGTTGATATGTGATTTCATTCCTCTTGGATTTGCCTGG